GTTCTTAATAAATAGCATAATCTCTGAAAACTCACTTCCTCAAAGCCCATCAGCAGTGGCTCCTGGAGGGGCAGGCCAGGGACAGGTCTCTAGGATTCCAAGTCCCTGGCCCATGCGGCCAGGATATGCTTCCTCTTTGAGCCATGCTGGGATGTCAGGGCCGAGCCAGCAACTCTCAACTGATCCTGCCCCCAAGCCTACTTTATGGAGACCCTGGCAGGGACGGTGGCCCCTCTAACACCGCCCTCCGCCTCAAACTCCCAGGTGGGGGGTCCTGTGGCCTCCTAAGCACAGTGGCTATGGTGGGGCAGTAGATGGCTGGACCTGAAACCCCTCTCCACCATCAGCCGCCTGGGCCCTCTGGTGGGGCCTGGTTTCTGCCTGGGCATTTTCTGGCTTCTGGCTAGGGACAGTGGTCTGAATGCTCACACAGGCACACTATACGTGTGTACACGTGGCCATGCTCACAGAGACAGGCATCCCCCACACATCTCTACATACGCTACACATTAGAGCAGCGGTTCTCAACCTGTGGGTCGCGACCCCTTTGGGGGTCGAATGACCCTTTCACAGGGGTCGCCTAAATACATCCTGCATATCAGATATTTACATAACGATTCATAACAGTAGCAACATTACAGTTATAAAGTAGCAATGAAAATAATTTTATGGTTGGGGGTCACCACGATATGAGGAACTGTATTAAAGGGTCGCGGCATTCGGAAGGTTGAGAACCACTGCATTAGAGCGAGGCATCTCACACTTGGGTGCATCAGGATTATCTAAAAGGCTTATCAGAGGGCTAGGCTCCACCTCCATCCGGGTTTCTGACTCGGTGGGTCTGGGGAAGGGCCCAAGAATGTGCATTTTAAGCAAGTGCCCAGGCACTGCTGGTGCTGCTGGTCCGGTACCCCTCTGTGAGAACCACTGCACGAGCGATGTCTACGCACACACACAGGAGGGTGCGCGTCCATGCATGGAAGCTTCTGTAACACAGCAGGAGCGAGGCAGCTGGGGAGGACTAGAAGCTAAGAGCTAAGTGCAGGCATACCCGGTCCGAGAACACAGATTGCAGCATCGTTCTCTCACACTGTCTCTGGCTCTGGCTGTTTCTCCATCGGTCTCCGCATGTCTGTGCATCTCTTTCTCAGTCTTCCTACCACCCCTGCAGCCTCCTCGCCCCAGCCAGGTCCTGCAGCCTCCAGGTGGCTTCCCAGCCCTCTGCACACGTGAGCTCATCCATCTCCATGGCCCGGTGAGTGAGTGGCAGGCAGGTGAAAGAAGAAGATTACAGAAGAATGTGCTCCGCTCCCCGCTAACAGGGAGCTCGCTCACAGTGAGAGCGCAGCCAATTATTCCCCGTTCTGGGGAATAATCATTAATGCCACAGGAAATTCTAAACAAGCGATTAAATCATTACTGGGGAAGGCACAGCGAGCCAGTGCCACCATTAAGCCTGCTTTGTATTGTTGGTCTGGGGAAGGCTCACCTGGGCGGTGGGGAAGCCGGGGAGATGGGCATTGCTCCCGCCCAACAGCCAGGCTGGCAGGGACCAGCCCCAGAACCACCTTCCCTGATCTGAGCTGCATACCCACCTACTGTCCCCAGAATCCCTCCTGACCCACCCCCAACGGAGGCTGTGTTCTGGCAGCTCTTCATGATCTCATGCCTCCTAAAGCCTTGCCCAGCTGATGAATCTATTAATTTATCACCTACTATGTGCCAGGCAGTAGTATTCTAGGGCCTGGGGAGATGTGGTCCAGAACAAGGCAGATGAGGTCCCTGTCCTCGTGGAGCTCACTGTCTAGTGGGGAAGTGGAAGTGCCTCTGGGGGTGAAAGTGCCTCTGGGAGTGAAAGTGCCTGGGATG